ATATATTTGTTAAACTATTTAACAAAGCAAGCGTGCTGTATGCCCACCTATCAGACCACCTAACGGTGCCACAGATGTCAATTCTAGAGCTGATCTCGATTCACATTGCAACTACGTGCTGGTGGGAAATCAACACATTGTAAACGATGGCAGCTCGACGGCAAAGTCCCATCGACATTTCCGTAGACGTCTTCTCAGCGAGATTCTCCAGCTCTGCCCAGACAGGCACGCTGGGCCACTTAAAGACACTCGAACTTAATTCCATGCCCATTGCAAATGTGAGCACCCTGGAATCTGGCACCGGTTGAGCGAAGCAAAGCAAAAAACTCAATTTATAAGAATTTGATTCGTGCTTTTATGTTGAAATCTGCGATGGCTCTGCGGGGAGGCCACGAGACGTTCCTCAGGATGAGAGGGCCCTGACTGAGCGGTAACCCGTGGCTGAGGCCCAGGACCCCTGAGCTGCTGGCTCAGCACCCTGACAGGCATTAGCTCCCCAGAGCCCCCCCCCCCCCCCCCCCCCACCCAGCTGCCCTCTTTGTATGTTTTTATTGTGTGAAATAAACGTCTGAAAATGCGGTGCACGAAGGAATGCGCATTTATAGTGAGTGAAGAGGAAAATCGCTAAACTAACCACATGCAGGTCCCAGGAAAAAAAAAAAACGTGTGCCTCGCACGATTTTGAAATTCTTGGGTCAAATTTCACGGCTCCCTGCCCATGTTCTCCTGATGAGCTTGCCAGTACCTCTGCAGGCACCCTGCGTTCACCTCCTGGGGAGACAGGTCAAGTCAGGGACATTTCACTGGGTCAAGTTGTGGCCACAAGACACAGACGATTACCTCGAGGAGAGAGACATGCTGTGCAGCAGCAGCAGAGGGACACGCTGGGATATGCGGGACTTCAACTTGCTCAGGGAGAAACAGACGGTGCTTTTAGCCTACATATGTTACCGTGTCTGCTGCTTCTGTTAAGCAGCATTGTTCATCACAGATATGGTGAGATCGATTGTTTGAGATTTTCGTAGTAATTTCTAAGCGATGGATATTATGGGAGATTGACAGACAAAGGCACCCTTTTTGAAGTTTAAGAGTAAACAGAATTTCCAAGTTCAAATTGTGACTTATGTTACACCATGACTATGAATGAGATTGCCAAGCATAGTTTATTTTCCATTGTGGGTACAGTCCCATGGATGACTGTGACTTGTGATGTGTTTTAAGTAGGTAGAAGGGTGCAAGATTCAAAGAGACAGTTACAATGTGGTCTCTGTTGCATTCTGAATCATCTCAAATTGTAGAGGCGTCGATTCTGAACAATCTAAGAAACGACTTCTCCAGGAAGGCGAGGAACAAACTAACCAGGGAAAAATCCCAGAAGGCCATGACTACACCGCATTATGACTTCTCGAACCCAGACACCAGATGCTGCCATAATTCATGTTGTTTTAAGCGAAGGTTTTTTCCATATGTGTCCATGTTCTGATTAATGCCCTCAAGAGCTGAGCTGGACCAAATGAAATCAAAAGCAGTATTTGTGTGATGCTCTCATAGTCCAGTCCCTGGTGACTTGGCTGGGACTACGAAACGGAAATCACAAAAAGAGCTTTTGGATTACTATCACGTGACTTCCTGGTCGTCAAGTAAAGGATCTTCGTGGTAACCAGCGCAGCGGGGCTCTTCTGATAACAGGGATTTGCCCCACGAGTCGGCCTGTCGTTCCAGACTAGCACCTTCAATTGCTGGTATGTCCACTCTTCATGGATGCAATACATTCTGCAATGCTTAAGAGTCCCAACCACTCGATGCACCACCTTGAGGGGACTACAGGACATCCTTGACTTCTTTCCATACCAACAGCACGTCTCACTACCTCTGACATCGTGACCAGTAGTAGTAATAGGTTTTTACCCTTTTAACTGGTACAAAATCTGACACCTTTATACAAGGCATCATGTTTGCATTTTGACTTCTTGTGTTGAGGTTATTGCAAACATGATTCCTTGTATAAAGGTGTCAGATTTTGTACCAGTTAAAAGGGTAAAACCGTATTACTATATTTTGGCACTGGTAAAGGAGATCTCATAGTGTAAATCGTGACCAGTATTGCAAGAATAACATTCCGCCGATTGCTCGAGGGTATCTTTGAGTGTCTCACTCTCAACCATAATGTTCATAAAGAAGCTGGAATATTGAGATTTGTCTTCTTAGCAATGTAAAGGGTGGCAGAATATTCTGGTTATTTTTTTTATCAACTATAACTGGACTTACAGTATGAGACAATGATTAAACCCAATCAAATGGTGACGATAAATTACAAAAAACAAATAACACAACACCGAATGAAATTATTCTGGAAAAGAAAAGTGAAAAATAATAATAAAAATTCCACCAGTTTTCTGATTGTGCATCAGCCATATTTTTGAGGCGAGCAGTTGACGTCAATAAAAGAAGTGCCACTTTGCGGGCGGTCGTTGACTCGAGGACAGCCTCCGGGCTTGCAAGAGAGTGGAGCACCACTCAACACCCGCTTGAGCCTGGAGACACTCCATTTGAGTCGATCACGTAATCAAACTTGGTCAGGATTCTTTCACAAATTTGGCACACGGTGAACTATTCACTATTTCACAAACGTTCTTGAGTCGTGTAACGTAGGCCCTTGAAGGATGTCATAAAGCGACACATGGTTTCTCTGTAGTGTGGAGTTCCAGAATGGGTTAAAGTTGATCAATTTGACACCTAGATGCCGATGGCGTAATTGAGATATCCTGACAATTAGTGCCACCTACCACTAATGAAATTGCTTGCACCAGGGGTTGATGGGTTACATGGAGATCGAAGCATAACGTGCACGAGATGCCCGACTGTAGGACACAATGCAAGTACCGAATGTTTCGCCTCTAAGGCCAACGTCGAAATGCGTTTCCGCTCAAACGAGGACGGCATGGCATTCATCTCCTGTTTCGACTGTGGACCATACATTAATAGTTGTTTCTCTATTATCGTCATCTTTTCAATAATAATAAAAACTAACTCATGTGTGAACAGTCCTTCCGCTGCGACACATGCTTCCAACAGGACCAGACCTCAAGGTGCGTCACAGAGCCCAGGCTGGGAACAATCATGAGTGGAGTGAACATGGGACATTTGATGACCAACAGCAGCAGCGGTGACGGCGGCAGCAGCAGGAAGAAAGCAGCGTCACCGTGGCGCACGTGTTCCTGTAAATCGTTCAGGGGCCCCGGGGAATAGAAAACAGAAAACAGCTCTGTTTTTGCACAAAAACAGCACACATTTCCACCGCAAAAAATGCTAAGCCACTCCGTTGGTGTCCTCGTAAACGGTGTCGACTGGAGGCCGACACCAACCGGCCGCAGCCGGCCACTCGGTGAACGCGGCCGTCTGTTGAGCGTGACTCGCCCTCCTCGTGAAATGTGCGCACAATCTCCGTTGCTTTGTGGCGGAGATGGGAGTGAGTCGGCCACACAATGGGACCCATTTAAGCCGTTTAATTATCGTTCGTTCAGTGTGACGTGGAAGAGTTTTGGGAATACGGAAGGCGGTAGAGGGGGAAGTCGGTCATTCAGTAACCTATAATAAATAAAATTATATTTGAATCAACTTACATTTTTGTAAACTTTTTTCCCAGTTCCTACGTATTGCATAAAATATTGTAAAAGCAGCAGGACCTGTAGTCTCCATTATTGACCTGGCTGAAGCCATCATAGCGTGGTTAGAGTTAATTCAGTCAAATCATCAAGATTCCCACTGGACAAATGAGCATGGGGCGGCACTCACTCCACTGGCTGTCTGACCCAGTGCAGGAAATTCCACATTCCTACAGCAGCGGCCACTGTGTCCAGAGAACAACCAACTGTTGACTTCCCATCAACTGGTACTCGTTTTATCTACCTTGGAGGGTAGCTCGGATGAGTCGACCACCCCTGACTGGTGTCTAACTCGGCAACCTTCCGAGCGTGAGTGAGGCGACCTGTCCACAGCGCTACCCAGCCTGACAACAAGCCTGCCCTCTCGCTCTCACTCACTCCTGTGGCTCACCGAGATTCGAGCTCATCTCTCTTCTGCGCTGACTCCGCTAGGTCTGAGGTGCACAGCCACCCGAGCGGGGGCTAACTGTGAACATCTTGTTTACCTCCTGTGAGGATGTATTGATAGTTGCCGTCGGTTGTTGCTACTGTTGTGAGCATTCGCGTTTGAGTCCCTGCATCTGGGTTGCACCTGCTGTGCGTACAGCGGTGCGCGTGGTTACAGCGACTTGGCACGCACGGCGCTTTCCCAAAATGTAATTTGCGAGTATGAATTTGCCTTCAAATTGGAGCTGTTTTATTTTCTTTTATACCCCAATTTTACGCAAACATTTTTTTTCAAAGTATACTCATGCAACAAGTGCGTGCCACATGGCAGACGTGCACGTTTTTTGTGTTTCAGTAGGTTTGTGTTCACACTTTGACGTCTATATTCCTGCGTGTGGTGTTTATGATATACAACAGCCAAGTGCAGTGAGTACGTTCACCGCAGGAGTTGCTGCTGCTGGGAATAATGACGGTGCTTTGTCCACTTCATCCTAAAGATTTAAGAATAAGGCCACACATTAAAAAAAGCAAAACCTGCTATTGGGAAATGCTGAAATAAAATTTGTGTATGAATATTTTTGAATCACAATATCTCTTGTTAAATGTCGTGGATTGCCCTCCAACACATCGGCGGTGCTGCTGAAGCAATGATAATCGGCACGTTTGTTCATCACGTGACAACTTGATCAATTGGCTTTGCTGGGTGGGGGAGGGTGTCCGACTAACAGTTTATTCCTGTGGCGACCTCACCCAAAAAAAAATGATGGATCACAATATCTCTGTCGATCCGTGACCAGGATATTGCGCACGTTGTTTAGGATTCCTCGGAGGCTGTTTGTACCTCCACGTGTGCTCACCCTTGCGTGCCCGTCCTGACGTGCCCGTCCTGACGTGCCCGTGCGAACTCAGGGTCGGTGGAGCTGGACCTGCACCGCATGCTGAAGCCGTCCAAGACGGCTGACAAGTGCACGCTCGAGCGCATGCTGAGCGGCTCGACCAAGCACGTGTCTCTGTTCCAGCAGAAGAGCGTGCGCGGCTGGTGGCCGTGCGTCATGCAGCAGGGAGACTCGTTTGCCCTCGCGGTGAGAGCCCATCGGCCTTGGCCTGGTGCAGTGGGTGGCGAGCGACGGGGCGGTCCCGTGCGGTACTGCGAATCTTTCTTCATCATCATCGTTCTTATTAAGCACGCGCTTACGTGCAAACGGGAGCGCCATCACGGAGTAACGGTTGGCAGCGCACGGGACCTACGATCGAGAGGTCGCCGGATCGACTCGATCTCCCGGCGCGGCGGTTGAAACAACAGTGGCGAGTTTCTTTAATCCCCCCCTCTTCCCCCCCCCCCCCCCGCCGTGCCTCTGCTCACACGGCGGCATAAATGGGTGCACCGCAGTCGATCGGCAGGCCACGTGTAGTGGGGTAAAGTGTGGGGACTCCCACGCCGTCTGGCCAGCATGGCAGAGTTGACCAAATGCCCTCTAGAGAGGTTCACTCGAGAGCCCCCTTCAGTGGAGCACCTCCCAACGGCCACGGCCACGAGCAAGCCGTGGCAGCGCTGCACCTTGTAGCGTTTCCCCTGCAATGTGAGAAATGGGGGTTGAACAGCGGCGCAGTTCTCAAACCCAGCAAAGGGATTACATTTGCTATTTGTTATTCTTCTTTATTTTTCCATGGGCATTCTTTTTTTATTTGCGCACGATAAAATTATATCCGGCCATGTGGCTCAGCGGGAGATTGAACGCCTCGCAACCGCAAGGGTGCGAGTTCAAATCCTCGTTAGACCATCATCCCTCTGTGGTCAATACAATGAGTACCGCTTTGACGATTAGAATATTCAGCCAGGTTGCACAGTGAGTTCTAGTAAAGTTGGGGATCTTTGTGTGTGTGTGGTGAGGACAGGGCAAGGTGGAGCTGACCATGGAGATTTTGTCAGAGCAGGAGGCAGACGAAAAGCCGGCTGGAGTCGGACGTGACGAGCCCAACATGAACCCGCGCTTGGAGGACCCGAAGTGCACACACACCCGCACATACACACGCAAACACACACACACACACCCACACCGCACGCACACACCCACACCACACACGCGCGCACACACCTACACCACACACGCCACACACACGCACGCATGCATACTACACACACCACACACACGCACGCACACACCCACACCACACACACGAACGCATGCACCCACACCACAAACATGCACGCACACACCCACACCACATGCACGCCCACACCCACACCACACAAACCCACACCACACACACCACACGCACGCATGCACCCACACCACACACACCACACACACGTACCCACACACCCACACCAGACACACACTCACCCACACCGTCAGTCTGTGGTTCCTTACAACCCTTGGCAGCTTCTGGCTCCGATTTACTGAGGTGATGAATTATGTCCCCAGTTCTTCTCTTGCAGGTATTTTTAGTAACCTGGGATGAGAAGACGCCATCGCAGATACTGAAATTCTATATACGTCAATAAAAACAGACACACACTGATGCCTACACAAATGAGAAATAACACGATCATACTGCAGTCATTGTTTATGCCCGCTGCAGTGCCTCCATGTGGCTGTGAGTGACCATGCGTGGCACTGCGGTGCGACAACCAATTGTGCAAAGGCAAAGCAACAGCAACGCTCGGCGTGTTTGCTGGAATAGTGAATGTTGAAAAAAAAGCTGTCAGTACACATACCTCAATGGGTGTCAGGAGGAGTTGTCCTGTCAAGACACAGTCATTCCCCGTTCTCTTCTGGTGGACAACACAGTCCCTTGCCATTACTTTAAGATGATTCATTGAAACTGAGTTGGAAATTTTTTACCCCACCAAACTGGAGCCACAACCAATATTCAAAGCCCTGAGCTCTTAAGCTACACTGGCACATGCATCCAAAAACGAATTCTTAATTCTGAAATCTTAGGAAATGTGTTCCTAAACCACGGGACTTAACTAGTGCTGAAATACCAACCTTTAAGCTCATCTCAAACCTCGTGAGGCCTAACGTGATCCTGACTTCTTAACTTCATTCCGTCCCTTAACGAAGCTCAACGCATTCGTAAACACACCGCCTCATAGACTCGAGGCGTGGTCTCTGACCGCTAGCCATCCGCGGTGTCGCGTCCTCAATTCTTGTCGCGGATTTCATCCCCACCCTCAAACCCCATTGTCCAGTCGCCCCGAGACGTCGTTCCTGTGGTTCAGCTCTCCGTGCAAAACGCTGCGCTACATCGTGTGGAGGAGGTACAAGTGGCTCTTCCTGGGCTCCCTCCTGCTCATGCTCGTCCTGCTCTTCCTCGCCGTCTTCCTCTACGCCTTCCCGGTTAGTTCGCTTTGGTCCTGAAGTGTCCCATCTTTAGTAGACACGCACGGGCTTCAATTCTCTCGTCCACCATGCTCAGTCGTCCCGCTGCCCTCTTCAACTGTCCACGGGACATTGACGAGCATCGTTCTATTTCTTTGCTCTTCGTCTCTTCCACAAGAATCTTCTCTCGATCACCTCCTTGAGCAAGTCATTGACTCCCCACTAAATGCCCAATCCAGATTGTCTACCTCTTCCTAATGCTCGTTTTGATCATGCACACTTGTTTTTTTTTTATTTAAGCAGCATTTGTATGCGGTTGTTTGACATATGCTATCATTATCTTACCTTCACTGGCATGTGTCACGTAAGAGAGTGTCCCAATGAATGCTAAATATGTATAAATTAGCCACGTGTATGTCTTATTATGGCTGTCTGCCAAATAAGCCGATAAAAGTCCAATTCACATTTTTTAAAATAGATGTTGTTGTGTTGCGCAGTCATTCTGCACTGAACTGAAACCTCCAGGTCACTGTCACTGGCGAGCGGTGGCAGCCCACGCACACCTCCTGAGCCGCCCCGTCACGTGTTCATGCGTCGCTATTGATCCCGACGTCAGCTGCTGATTGTACATATTTAAGAACTTCTGTCTCCTTTGAAAAACAATAGAGAGTCGAATATGGACATGTATTCGTACTTCACTACATTTGTTGTTAACAATAACTTGTCCTGTTCTTTGTCTCATCAGGAATACCTGGCAATGAAGATCGTCAAGCCTTAACTCTGCATGCTGACGATGAGAGGGTCATGGGGTTGGGTGATGAACTGAGACGTGGACGGGAGCCACTCAACAACGCTTTGCACGAGGGATTGCTTTTGGACCTCACATTTCGTCACACCGGCTCGTGGAAATGAAGGGAATTCTTAAAAATCAAGCCCCTACCTCCTCTGCTGGTCGACAGGCTGCAGACACCTTTGTGGGCTCTAGACGCCTTGGAGAAGCTGCAGTGGATCTCCAGGCCTCACAACTTGGGAATGTGTTTGCAGTGCGATGCTTGTTTTTCTGAGAAGAGGTTTTCCCCTTCTTTCTGGCAATAAAACAGGTGTTGAGATGTTAAAACACCAAACTGAAACCTTTTACAAGGAATCCTGTCTGCAATAACCACAATATTTGTAGTCAGAATGCAAACAAAAAACATAGTCTGATAAGAAATGCATTCTCTTTTAAACTGATTGGTCCACATCAGAGACCGCTTTCTTTCGAGTCAAGTCCCTAACACCGACTCTAAAGAAAGCCGTCTCTGGTGTGGACCAATCAGTTTCAAGGACAATGCATATATTATCAGAGTATGTTTTTTGTTTGCATTCTGGCCACAAGTATTGTGATTAATGTAGACATGATTCCTTGTAAGGTTTCAGTTTGGTGTTTTAACATCTTAACACCTGTTTTGTTGCCAGGAAAAAGGGGAAAACCTATTCTCATATTTTGGTACTGGCAAAGGAGGTCCCATGATGTCGGTGTTTTCCTATTCGAGGTCCGATGTCCACTGTTGCCACCGTGCCGTGCGTTACCGTCAAAAGCAATTATCTCCTAATTTTGTTTGGTTTTTGCACAACCCTTTGTTTTTGGATATGAACGGCATTATTTGCTTCTTGTGATCACTTTTGCAAATCTCTGAAAAGAATGATGCACCAGTTTGAAGAGAATATTCACATCAAGACTCGTGTTGCTTTTTCAGTTATAGGATATAGCCATATTATAACGTGGCTTACATTTTTTCCGCGTGCAAGTTAAAGACTGTAGGCATCATTCGCAGGTCTAGGCAGACATCGAAGAAGCTTGTCTTTCTTTTCCGTGCCAAAGCTTTCCACAACTCGAAACAACTACTCCACTAGTCACAAAGTAGGCCAAAGTTGGAATGCTGTTGTCACATGTGTGCTGGAGTAGCCAGTACTGTACTCGCCGTGCTTGATAGAATCCAACGTAAACAATCGCGTTGATTAACGAACATTGTTGTAGGATTCAAACAGACCCGCAGTTTGGGCAGCCCTGCCGTATACGGTAGGTCGTAGCAAGAAAAGCTATATCGTCTCCAGCTGGAAATGCAACCCATCTTTAAGCTGCATGTGCTTGTATTGGTAGCATGGGCCCTCTGTTCACAATCATGTTTAAGGTAACATTTGTGCCATTCGTGGCATTCTTCCAACAGCACGTAATAGCTCTTTGATGTTTGATCAAATACAGGCTCGAAAACGAAACCTGTTCAATTATTTGCTCGGCTGGTAAAAGTTCACGACCGCAAAATTGTGTGAGCAATTCTCAGCGTCATCTCGGCCTCTACACCACCACAGAAGCAAAGCGCTATGAGAGTGTCACCTCTCGGTGGGCATGTCGAATATTCTCCCGAGGTTTAGGTCACCAACACAAAGGGTCATCATGTGGTAGCTTTGTAGTGTTGTCTCCAAACTTTCGATGAATAAAGCAACACTTTAAACTCCATCAATCGTATTGTACTGCCTTAATTAGGGGGGGGGGGGTTAAACGGTGAGGACGCGTACGAAAGCAGGCAACATGGTTTGAGGGTTCTTACCCTGAACGACGCGAGTCCATTGCCATTTAGTTGCATATTCAATCATAGCGACGACGGGGTATCGTGCAGGGCCCACGAGTACATCGATGGGCCTTGTCTCGGTGCCCCACTTCAAACATCATCCTTACAAAGTTACAATACAATGTAAACGAGATAATTATCAGTGGTTTCCATTGTGTGTTATATAAAATCGATTATGTTTGGAATTCTAGACCGTGGAATCGAGATAGAATCCACGCGTCTGCCTGCATTGATATTGCGTGGCGCAACTGGAGGCGGCGTCTCATTGGTCCATTGAAGCCCTGCACCCGGGGCGACTTGGAATCCGCCTGTAGCCAATCACAAGCCGCCGTTTGCGGATGGCTCCTAAAGAGGCTTGCGGGGAAACATCATAGCTTCCCCGTGCAGGTAAATTAATTATTCATTATTTTGAATTGTATGTATGTTGAACTTCTTCCACACCGTACGTAACCAACCATGCTATTCGGAGGTGCGATTAATTGGAATTGTGTAATTGTTTACTGTTCCTGATGACGACCGCTTGTGTTGCGATCGAAACGTCGTGATATTTGTATTATTTTATTCAATTTTTATTGTTATTTTTTCTATCTACGTGACTTCACTGAAACAACCATACAACATGATTGTTTACTAATTGTCAAGTTTATTTTAGTAAACCAAATGATAACCTTTCGGTTCGTCATGTATCCAGGAAAGCCACACTGCGTCCCAAGAATCTTGGGTTTTTATTTTAAGATGTTTTCAGCCATTTAACGACAGAGTGTTTACACAAGTAGGAGCGAACCGGAGCTCCCAGAGAAACCCCACGCGGGAGGCGGCAGCAGTCCTTCATCCCCGTACAGATGGAAACAGACGGCGATTAGTCCACCTCCGGGCGAGCCAGGGTATACGGCTCCTCTTCGACGCCCACGGCAAGGGAGTGTCACGACATCCGTGTGTGATCCAGCAACCCTCGCTGCTGCCTCCACAGTGCTGGAGTACCGGAGCCACAACACAAACCCACCAGGCACCGCGGGCGTTACCGTGGCTGGGCAAGAGCCTCCTGTCAATTCTGCACATTACAGGCTCTTTAACATCGGCCTGATTGCACATTGGGGCTATTTGCAGAAATCACTGTGTGGTCTACCATGCTTGCCTTGCTACATGCAATCGGTCATGCTGTATTTTTTTTTACATGTAAACAGTGCATAGATTTCTGTTGTATAATAGCAATTTGAATTCGTTTAAATCTTAAACTTCATTCATTGAATCTTCTTCCTTTAAGCCAAGGAAACCACACACAGAGAAGCGCCTGGAGAAAATCCACAGCGAGCCAAGGAGAGCGCTCCCACCCACAGCGGCCGTGGACCTCCTGTGACCCCATGTGACTTCCTGTGACCTCCTGTGACCTCCTGTGACCTCATGTGATCTCCTGTGACTTCCTGTGACCTCCTGTGACCTCCTGTGACCTCCTGTGACCTCCTGTGCCGCCCCGTGCAGTGGCCAGCGCGCACTGTCACGGCGAAGGTGAACAGGTGAGAGGCCCTGGTGGATGCTGGGGAGCCTCGACGGAGCTATGGCGGCCTCTCTCCTAAACAAGGATGGGCTCACCGCCTCGCACCAACTGCATTGACACACGCACGCCACATTTCATTGTCGTTTATAAATAAAATACTTTTTCCCACAGGAGCAGGCCGCTTTGTTGACAATGGCACGAATTTAAAAGTCAATTCTACATTTAGAGTGCTTCCTTTTTTCATGAAATCTGTTGCTCATTACGAGTTTGGTGGACGAAGTAAATTTGCGGCGGTCTGGCGATGGTGTTTGTAATTTTTGATGGTGATGTGTTTCGTGATGACGGTAATGGTTAGCAGTCGGGTTATGGATTCAAATCGTGATGCATTTTATAACATTGGGTATTTTATTATGATGTATTTTTGATGATGTTCCACGAGTTTGAAGAAAATGAAAAACATAACGAAAACAACAACTGTCTCATCACTTAAAACCTTGCGAGTTCAAATATATTATAACGATGTTGAATTTAACGAATATTATGATTCGTGATATGGCTTAGTGTAGAATATTTTACGTGATAAACGTATTTGAAGCTGCATAGACTGATTAAATTTGTCTGCCTACTCAAACAATTTGGCAATGCTCATTTCTCTTGGCAGCCCTGAGCCCATGGTGGAACTCCACATTTCTATGGCAGTAAATAACTTACAGTATTAGCGCATTACTTTACATGAGGATAATTATCTAGCGAGGGAGTTCGCGTGCAGCAGGTTATATGTTGCCTCTAAAGAACCGGGGTTCATTGTGTCCACATGGCAACTAGCTATGAGGGAAGGCCATTGTAGGTGGCTATTCTCAAGTGGGTTCCGTCTGTTTTGGGGCTCGAGCTTTGAAAGTGACTCCAGCGAAGCGGGCCGAGATCGTTTTCAGCAACCCGAGTTTGCCCATTTATCCCATGGGAACGTGCAACTTCTGCTCGGCATCAAGCGTATGAATATGCAAATGTCAATGAAGTACATCCACCTTGAGAATGGTGTACGAGACTGAAGCTATGCTCTCCACTTAAACATCCACCAGTGTGGTCTTCCCAGGCTGAGCACTGGCTCGCCAAGATGTCACGTTAATGGCCACAGGTCTCTCCAGTTAGTCATTCGACCAGGGCAGATGTCACGGCTGACACACGCGTGCCTGGACGCTGAATAGGAGTGAGGAGTGCCTGAATCACGTGACGATGTGTGGATCTGTGGATGTCATGAATTTTAAAAGCCAATGAATTCTGAAAGGCAATCCTGTCCCTTGGGGTAGCGGAATGTTTCAACACACTTCCACCAGGGCAGGTCACACAATGGCACAATTACACTACAGTTATAAACTAACTCTTTGTGGTTTGGCCAGTGTATATGACTGTTGACCTATTAAAGAATGCATCTGAACATGAAGTTGTAAAAATGCAGTCATGAAACTGACATCATGAGCAATGGAAAAAAATATTCCAAATGCATTACAATTGCATGGATGTTGTGTTCAGTTTACCTTGGGTTTTTTAAACTGAATGTGTATTTTTACGTATGATCTGTCATATACTCGTAGTCTATAACTCTAAATTCAAAATATAACATGAAAAATATAACATTACCTATAATATATGGCGTTTGTACTAATTTGCATACTGTTTGTACAGACTTTGTACCACTCTCCTTCGCAGCTTTATGTCTTGATGGTTTTCACATATTAGGGCAAAACAGTTATTTATTACCGCCGATAGTTTAAGTCGTTCACATATTTGAAGTGGCTTGAGTGGAAGTTGAATTGCTTGCTAAGGTGTAGCCAACGGTCAGCTACGAGCTGCAGTGGCCTACATCCAGGCTCAACTTTCTTGGTTGATTCGGTAGGCAAATGTGATCATGTGGCAGACAGCATCTAAGCTTAATTACTGCCAAGTCTGCCACTTTATTGCACCCCAATTCAGGCTGTATATGAGGCCATTAGGGAGCAGGCACATTTCCATTTTGACCACTTTAATAACTCGAAATACAATGGGCCATTCAGCACTGCCATTATCCCAGCCCCTTTTCCTGTTCCCACCCATAAGTCTGAAGGTGGATATAGTTACTCTATGTAACACACCGAGCAC